AAAACTGAGGGGTAAGGGCATTTCCCGGGATGAAAGAACCATGTGAGTGGTCACAGAGCATTAAACTCTCTCAGATCTACAAGATAAAAGAGAAAGGACAGTAAGAGAAGGCTTGAAAGTCAGCTGAAGCCAGGTTATGAAGAGACTACAGAGTCATGTTAAGGATTTTGGACACTCTAGAAAATGAAAAGCTACTGAAAGCTGACGATATGAGAATGAAATGAGTAGTTGCTTTTTGGTTTGGGGCTTGCTTTGTTTTTTGGTTGCTAGGATTTTTTTCTAATTTACAACCAATAAGAATATTTAATAAGGTTGCCAAATACAAAGTGAATATGCAAAGCTAGCATTGTTAAATACCAACAAAAAGGAGAAAAATGTCATTTTTAAAAGAAGGAATTTTCAACAGCAACACAATTTAAATATAACTTGGGAAAATCTCACAAAAGATGTGAATTGCCATTTTAGAGAAAATTATAAAACTTAATTAAAGAATATAAGAGAAGTTGTAAGTAGAGAGTTATATCATGCTCATAAATGGAAAAACAACAAATAGATCTATAAATGCAATACAATACCAATAAAAATCTCATAAAGGTTATTTGTGTAGATTCATAGGCCAGTCAGACCTTATATTCATATAGAAGAGAAAGGGCCAAGTTTGTCAAAATAATTTTAATGAAGAAAAAGGATAGATGTCAAAACCCACCAGATATCATAATATTTTAAAACTAAGTGATCTTAGATTGGCCCAGAGACATGAGTTGTGGTTTTACATTCCATTGTTGGGTTAAAGAAGTAGTAGGGAGATGGGAAATAGGAAAGGGGCCAAACTGATAACAAAAGTCATACAAGTTCCCCTACAGCTTCTCACTCCCCTTTAATCAGAGTGACCCTGACTGTTAAATTAAGGCAAAACCTGTTTTCAAAAAAAAGCAATTTCTTCACAGGAGCCTGGCCTAAGGATAAGCATTCTGAGTAGCTACAGTGAAGTTTCAATCAGCCACCTGGCATTTGCTAATCATCTGATATGTGCTAAAAACAAAGGAGTCAGCAGATGAAAATTGTAAGCATACAGTCCTGGGTCTTAAATAGCATGTGACAAAGTTGAGAGGCAGTTTTTCATATCACACATGAATTAACTAAAGAACCTACTTACAAAGCACCATACTAGTAAGTATAATATATTAATACAAATATAAATGCAAAAAAGTGCTGAGAGTTGCAAGTAGAGGGGTAAACCTAGGCAGATGTGCTCAGGGAGACCTTATGAAGTGGATTTGGGAAGTCGTGGCTATAGAGCAAGTCATTGCTGCTGACAGTGCTGTGGCTCACCTGCTACTGTGGCCCAGTGACTCAGGCAGACAGCAGGGCAGCACCAAAACCATCACTGTGCACTGTTCATTGCATTTAAATTCCATCAAATTATGACCAGCCTATCAAAGAAGAACTCCAAATCCTCTCTTCCTCTATAAGCTAGCTATTTTGTCTAAGATTTAAGAAGATGGTGCTTGTCTTCTTAAGCCTTGTTCTCTTTCTTGTTGTGTGTCTTATGAGGCTCCAGCTCTGAATCAGCTGCACATATTACATGCCTGAAATACCTTAACAGAATGGAGAAAAGGCTTCCTGACAACAACTGGCATTTGTGGTGAAGCAGAAAGGTTCTCTGGATTCTGATATAATAGTTAGAACAATTATAAATATCGTTTATATTTATAAGCAATATGTAATTTACATAAATCATTTGATTGATTGATTGATTGATTGATTGATTGATTGGTTGATAGGTAGAGACAAGGTCTCACTATGTAGCCCAGGCTGCACTCAAACACCTGGCCTCACATGATCCTTCCACATCACCCTCCCAAAGTTCTGGGACTACAGCCACGAGCCACTGCACCTGGCCTATTTTGCTTTGATTATCCCTGTATAATTGAGATTAATGCCACCCCTCCTTGAATGTGCTGTTCTATATTCTTAGCTTGCTTGATCAGACATAAGTCTCACAACAACCCTGTGAGAAATTATTCTGCATGCCATTTTGCAGCTGAGGAAACTGAAGCACAGAGAAGTACAGTACTGCCCAAAGGTCGTACCAGAGGTTGAGACAACATTTACACCGGCCCTGATTCCAGAGCCCAACTTCTTAACCATATGCTTTTCTGCTTCCCTAGTTGTAGAGCCTTTTTGTATTATTGCACTTTAATGGTATGTGTATAGTTGGAAAATTTGTACATAGGGTTTTAAGGGTTCTTAAGAACTAGGATTCTTACTTGCAGATATATTTCTATAGCAAAACCTATTTTTACTGAGATGGTAAAGTTATTTGGGGTGGTTTATTTGGGCAGGTTAACAGAGTTTCAGAGATGATAAGGGTTAAAACCCTCCCTAATCATCCTTTGGTGCTGCTAATATGGATCAAATTGTGAGCTACTTAGTATTATTTTCTCTTTGGTTCCCTGAAGAAAGGATATGTTCTAGAATATTTTTCTTCCTCTTTTACACCTTCAGGCAATACAAGTCTTATGGACCACTATAATTACTGTTTTCCTCTATTTTTGTTTCCTCCAGTCCAGTGAAAGACACACAAGCTACTATACTGTTACACAATGACTAAATAATTGTTTGATTAGATGTGTGTGGGGGGGCATTCACATTCACTGGCCCCAAAACATCATGAATACAGAGCCATGTTTGTTACATACTCGATTTCTCACGGCCATGAAGAATTTAGGCCCGGATGTTTGATTATTTCTTTCTTACGAAACATAGTTGTAGGATTGATATTGCACGATATCAGAAACCTGTTGGAGACAAGGGAATTATTTTGTCTCTAGTCAAAATTTTGCAAGGAGGGGCCGGGTGGTGGCTCATGCCTGTAATCCTAGCACTCTGGGAGGCCGAGGTGGGCGGATCTTTCAAGACCAGCCTGAGCACAAGCGAGACCCCATCTCTACTAAAAATAGAAAGAAACTAGCTGGACAACTAAAAATATATAGAAAAAATTAGCTGGGCTTGGTAGCACATGCCTGTAGTCCCAGCTACTCAGGAAGCTGAGGTAGAAGGATCGCTTGAGCCCAGGAGCTTGAAGCTGCTGTGAACTAGGCTGACACGACAGCACTCTTGCCTGGGCAACAGAGTGAGACTCTGTATTCCTCTCGCAAGCACTTAATCCAAGTCCCAATCTTACTCTGAACCGGGGGTGTTAGTATTAACCACCATAGGTGTTATCTGAGACGGACTGTATCAACTTAGTACCAACCTGGTATCGTCAGGACTCAGTGAACTCTAGAATTGCACAAAACTGGCCCTAATCAGTTAGATAAGTGGCCTTAGGTAAATAACTCAATTTCTCTGAACCCCCGTTATCTCCTCTATAAAACAGGGCTGACAATATCTATATCTTACACATGTCAGGAGGATTAAGTGTATTTTTTATTTATATATTTAAATTGTGCAACATGATGTTTCAGTACACATATAGTGATTACTACAGTCAAGCAAATTAACATATCCATCATTTCACAATTACCTTTGGGGTTTGCAAGATTACCTAAATTCTATTCTCAGCAAATGAACAATATTATATTGTATAATACAATATTGATAACTCTTGTCTTCATGTTGTACATTAAATCTCTAGATTTATTCATCTGACATAACTGTAACTTTGTACTCTTTAACCTACAGTTTTCTATCTCCCCCCAGTGCTCCAACCACTGTTCAATTGTTTCTACGGATTTGATCTCTTTTTAGATTTCACATATAAATGAGGTGCAATTTCTGCAGAATATAGTACCAAACACAGAGTAGGAAGTTGATAAATGTTAACTAGTGTCATAAGCATAGAACAATGGGTAAGGAGTCTATTTCTGTGGAGAGTAGATTTATTGTAACTGGCCTTGCAAAATGGCCCCCTTACTGGTCAAGTCTAACAAGCAAACTTAATTAGCCTCTCCACATGACTCACCAGCCATGACCAACAGCTGATTCTTGAAATCAGATCACCTGAAGAACCTATGACTTCAAACTCCACACAACCTGACCTGCATTCCACAAACCACTATAAAAGCCTTTGTCACTAGTCTATCAGGAAGACCAATTGTAAGACTATTTCTCCCATTCTGCCAACATGTCTTTCACATTAAAATTCCTTTCTTCCTTGGCAATCCTTGTTGTCCCAATAATTGGCTCTTTGTGAGGTTAGTGACAGGACTTAGGCTGAACACCTTTGTGGGATTGGTAACATAATTATGAGAGTAATTTTATGTGTTTATTCCTATTTTTCTTCCTCTGTGAATGATAAAAACGTGTTGCATGATTTTTAATGATGAAAATGTTAAGTGCCACTCAACTGTGATGAGTCACTGAATATATACACTTGCAGGCCAAAAGGCTCAAGGTTTAAAATTCTGATCTCTTTTTACGCATCAAACAAAATGGTGAAGTATATTTTTCAAAGGTTAAAAAAACTCACATTTTGCAAGTAGCAAAAATGACGTTTACAAGTGTGAAAAATCATGCTGAGAAATGCTTACATGTAAAGAAGACAAACTGAGGATGTCCTGGGGGCAGGGGGAGGACAGTAAATCACCTAAGAAGGATTGGAGTAGAGTGCTATGTGTACTTAACATTGTCATAAGGTTAAAAAAAAATCCCATTCATTCATAAAAGATTTGTGCTCCCACTACCTGCCAAGCACAAAACTATTCACAGTCACCAAATCTGCTTTGCTTTCTAGCGGGCCTCAGTGGTACCCTCAATGGGATACCACTGTCTGTCCAGATTGACACCTTATGCCAACGTCCTGAGCAAAAGGACAGAGCAAGTCTGCCCCGCCCACTTTCACCGGCCTCACGCGTCAACGTCATGGCAAATTGAAAACGCTAAAGTGTAACCTACGGTGTCCCACTAGGAAACGAAGACGGGTCAAGCACCGACATGTTCCGCCCACATAAAAGATGGCGCTGGGCGCGTCAGCCATGCTTGCTGCCCGGTTCCTTGTCTCCGGGGCGGGGTCTAGAGCAGGAGGTGTGCGTTTAGGAGGTGTGCGTTTTTGTTTTTCCCATCCTTTCTCCCCTCCGCTTGCTCTCACGGTATTCGCTGAGGGTGAAGAAGGAAATACCTGATACAGATTAAGCAGACGGAAACAAAGTGGGAAACCACCGCAGCGCGCGGCGCGTCCCGGAGCTCCCGAGACGCGTGCGGGAACCCGGGCCCGGGGGCGTGGTCAGAGGCGGGGCCGGGGCGGGACTGCGGTTGCGGTCCCTGCGCCCGCGGCGGCGGAGGCGCGGGCGGTGGCGAGCGGTGAGTGCTGGGCTGGCGTGCTGGCGGGTGGGTGTTTACGGTCGGGCTGTCGGGACGAGCAGGGGTGGCAGCGGGGGCTCTCCTCCGGGCTGGACTCGTCTTTCCTTTTCCTCCTTCTCTCCTGGCCCGCGCCGGGCATCGGGCGTCCCTGCCCGGCGACGGCGGAGTTGCCTGCATCCGGGCCCCAGGCTTCCCGGCGGCGGCGGCGCAGAGACGAGATGGGGATGCGGCCTCTTCCCCGCTTTCGCGCTCGCGGTGCCCGAGCCCTTCCCGGATACCCAGCCGGGGCCGGCGGGAGCGCAGCCGCTGTGGGCTGGAGAGAAGGGGGCCCGGGGCACCGAGAGGCCTTTCCCCGGGGAAGGCCAGAGGGCGGGCGGCGCGCGGCTCCTCCGGACCAAGTCAGGGTTCGCTGGGAACCGAGACAGCCCCTGCCCGCGAGGAGATAATGGGCGAGCTATGGCGGTGTGGACAGACCGCACGCCTGCAGAATTGCAGAAGTTTGTGAGGAGAGTTCCTGTGTTGTAAACGTGGGCAGCGGTGTTAGCGCGTACTCCCTTTCTGTGGGACGTGACCTGGTTGCTTCACTGCTCGGAGATTACACAGACTTACTTAAGGGAAGTGACCATTGTGACTTGGGCATCACTTGACTGATGGTAATCAGTAGTAGAAAGAAGCGCACTGATTACGGGTCTGTACCCACACTGGGTCTGTCTAGCCACAGTGTACTCCGCAGTGCTTTTGTATTCAGGAAGAGGAGAGAGGTGATGCACTTGCCCAGGAGGGATGGCCCTTTCACACATAATAGAGATTGTTAGGCTCTAGCAGAGTAGCAGTCTGGTTGTGGCAGGTGGATGAATTCCTATTCAAACTGTTCCCATCCATCACCAGTGGTGTGAAACAAGGGTACACAATCTGTCTGGCATTACTTCTGCTTTGTACAAAAGGTTCAAAAACAAGTATTGGAAAATCTTGTTAGATATGAGCTTTCTTTCTAGACGTTGGAAAACAACATAATCTGAAAACCACAGAAGCAAAACTATAATATATGTGGTACTGATAATATGGAGTTAGAATACTTGAAATATGATGGTGTTATTTGACATAGGTACTGTTACCACCGCTTCTGCCAAGCCCTGCCGCTTTAGGAAAACCCTGAATCAGTTGGAAACTGCCTCATGATGACTGGGCATTTTATACAACTGAATTAAAAAATGATAGACATTACTGACCACATTGCAGATTGTGTGCACTAAGCCAGCATTTGTCTGCTCCAGGAAACAATTGCATACAACTTATGAAGTTGATAAAATAGTCTCTCTATTTGGCTAGGTTGGCAGTCCAAAATTTGCTTTGTAAGAAAGAAGTTTAAAAACCAACGAAGACCTCTTTTCAAGCCTGCCCTTATGCCCTGTGCTAAGTAGTTCATTGGAATGGTAGGTTAGCCTGTCTATTTGAGAAACTTGGATCTGTAAGAGATGGCCAGATGGTGACATCATAAATTTCATCTCTGAGTCTTGCCTGATGTTGAAAATTTAGAAAGTGTCGCAAACTTTCAGATGTTACAAGCAGTTCACTGTTCTTAAAGTGGTCCTGGGCAGCTCCCTTTTTGGAAGGTGGACTGGTCTAGGATCCTTCCTCTCTTAGGGCTGGTAGAAAATCAACGGAAAGCATGGTTACAAGAAGTGAAGGCCTTATGCTGGTAGAATTCTAATTTAAATAGCAGTGGACCAAACAACTTTCTAAATACCAATCAGGGAAGAGATGGCTGATATTTAGCAAAGGTTTAAGGAAAAATAAAAACCTCAAGCTTACCACTCTGCTGAAAGTTTTAACAGAAGCTAATTAATATAATCATATGTCTGCATATGTTGGATTATTTTCAGAAAGTATATTGCGTAAACCCTCATGAACCCTGTGCTTTGTTTACAGGAGAGGCAAGCCACCATCCCACCCGATTTGGATCCTGGCTTCCCTCAAAAGACTCTATCACTAATGTTTGATAACTCTCTGGAGTAGCCAACACTACATGTATCTAAGATATGTAAATAAAAGACTATTGGTTTTGAACTGATTTTTTTTTTCAGCCACATTTGTATATATGGATTCTTCTCACCAAAGGTGACAACTTCTGGTATTAGTAAAATCACTTTCCAGCTCTACTAGTTATACTTCTCTATGACGTTTCATTTGTTAGGCTATTTCTTTTGGCAGGATTTAAAGCTAAGCAATCCAGCATGATCCTTGTCTTTCATTTTCTTTCTGATTAGGAGTGAGACTGAATATAATTAGTGGTCTCTAATAGTTTAATTTTCATAATCAGGTAAAAAGTTTTCCCACAGTTCGATCAGACTTTGCTCTAGGACTCAATTCTTTTAGGAAATACTTTTCAATATAATGATGAAATATTTGAGTGATAATATTGCCTTTATGATTATTCACCTTTTTTTCCAAAAAGAAAGAATGAAAGAGCAACATATGTGCAATATAATTTTATAGTTGTGTGTTTGCTCAATGCCCGGGCTTCCAGTTTGCTGCTCTTAATGTTTGCAATAGCATCATTACAGTTTCAGTTCAAATTCTTGTATTCCGTCATTGCAAACTGTTTAAATTGTATCCAAAACAGTGGATATTTTAAATAAGCTGTAGAGCTTATATCCAGTGTAGTCTCTTAAGACTATTAAATTGATATATTAAATGTATTACTTAAGTGAATTCCTGAAATTAAAAATAACACATGTGAAAACTATCTTTGTGTTAAATCATTTCTGCACATACTTATGGTTAACTGTTTTGCCAAGCTCTATATGCCTATTCATAATATGATAAAAGTATTCATTTAATGCTCTAAAAATAGAAATCACTGGTTTTCATCAGACTGTAAAATCTCTTGAGAAGATGTAGATAAAAATTCTTTAAGTAAAATGGCTTACTTTGACATAAATTTAGTTATAGATCGAATGTTAGCTCCCAAAGCAATCAATGTAGGCAAAGATAGTTTGTCTATTAGCTGTTCTCCATTGCTATTATGATTAATGGATTTCACAGTTTTAGATTTGCTTAAATGAAATTGTCATAATTTTTTTCCACTTTCAGTCTTCTGATGCAAGTCTTCAATTAGAGTAGAGCCATGTGTCATTTAATGACAGAGATACTTTCTGAGAAGTGCATCATTAGGTGATTTTATTGTTGTGTGAACATCATAGAGTATACTTACACAAACCTAGATAGTGTAGCCTAATACACACCTAGGCTAGATGGTATAGTATGTTGCTCCTAGGCTATAAACCAGTATAGCATGTTACCCTACTTAATATTGTAGGCCAGTGAACCCCAACCTTTTTGGCACCAGGGACCAGTTTCATGGAAGACAATTTTTCCATGGACCAGGAGATGGCAGAAGGGATGGTTTTGGGATGATTCAGGCACATTACATTTATTGTGCACTTTATTTCTATTATTATTACATTGTGATATATAATGAAATAATTATACAACTCACCATAATGCAGAATCTAATGCTGCTGCTGATCTGACAAGAGGCAGAGCGAGTCATGTGAGTGATGGGGAGCAGCTAGCTGTAAATACAGATGAAGCTTCGTTCACTCACCCACCACTCGGCTCCTACTGTGCGGCCCGGTTCCTAACAGGCCACAGACTGGTACCGGACCTCTGCCTGGAATTTGGGGGCCACAGCTGTAGGCAGTTGTAACACACTGGCAAGCATTTGTATATCTAGGCATATCTAAACATAGAAAAGGTATAGTAAAAAAACCAGCATAAAAGATTTAAAATGGTATACCTGTATAGGACACTTACCATGAATGGAACTTGCAGGACTGGAAGTTGCTCTGGGTGAGCCAGTGGGTGAGTGAATATGAAGGCCTAGGATATTATACTACTATGGACTTTATAAACACTGTACACTTAGGTCACATTAAAGTTGTAAAAATAATGTTTCTTTCTTCAGTAATAAATTAACCTTAGCTTACTGTCACTTTTGTAGTTTAAAACTTAATTTTTCCAACTTTTTGACTCTTGGAATAATGCTTAGCTTAAAGCTTAAACATGTTGTACAACTTTACAAAAATAATTTCTTTCTTTATATCCTTATTCTATAAGCTTTTTTTCTATTTAAAAAAAATTTTTTTTTTTTTTACTTTTTAAACCTTTTTGTTAAAAACTAAGACACAAACACACACATTAGCTTAGGTCCACACGGGGTCAGGATCATCAGTATCACTTTCTTTTTTTTTTTTTTTTTTTACTTTTTAAACCTTTTTGTTAAAAACTAAGACACAAACACACACATTAGCATAGGTCCACACGGGGTCAGGATCATCAGTATCACTTTCTTATATGTCCACATCTCGTCCCACTGGAAGGGCTTCAAAGACAATAACACACATGGAGCTGTCATCTCTTATAATAGTAATGCCTTCTTCTTCTGGAATACCTCTTGAAAGAGCTGCCTGATGTTCTTTTACAATTAACTTTTTCTTTTATAAGTAGAAGGAATACAGTCTAAAATAAATAAAAAGTATTGTATAGTAATATATAAAGCAGTAACAATTGTTATTAAGTATAATGTACTATACATAATTGTATGTGGTATACATTTTTATACATACTATACATAATTGTATGTGGTATACACAATTAGTGGTGCAGTAATTTTGTTTATACCAGCATCACCACAAACACTGAAGTAATACATTGGCCTATGGTGTTATGATGGCTTATATGACATTACTGGACAATAGGAATTTTTCAGCTCCACTATAATCTTGTGGGACTATTATTATATATGCTGTTGAACAAGATGTTGTTATGTGGTGCACGACTGTATATGCAAGACAGTGATATTAGTTTTATCCTAATATCATATAGAATGTACCTTCTTAGAGTGATATATTTGTGCGGATTAAGATGCACAGGGACCAGGAGCCCTGGGTTCTAGCTTGTCTGCAAACTTGTTTGCTTTTCTCTGTGTCTGTTTTCTCAGTAGATTGAAGTGCTTCAGCTACTTGGGAGGCTGAGGCAGGAGGACTGCTTGAGCCCAGGAATTTGAGACCAACCTGGACAATGTAGTGAGACTCCTATTTTTGAAAACAAAATTTGCCCAGTGAGCTGGCCGATACTTGTAGTCCCCGCCACTCAGGAGGCTGAGGCAGGACCATTGCTGGAGCCCAGCAGTTCAAGGATGTAGTGAGCTATGGTCAAGTCACTACACTTTGCCTAGGCAACAGAGCAAGACTCTGTCTAAGAAAGAAAAAATGTAATAGGGAGGGAGGGAAAGAAGGATAAGGAAGGAAGAAAAGAAAGCCTGGAAACTTGAACAGGGCCTGTTCAGCCCTTTTGTTCTCTGTGTCTTCTAAATAAGTGAAGCTTTTTTATTTTAGCCATTTAGTATAGAACTTTTTTCTCAATAATAGAATGCTGTACTGCTTTAATACACTTGACTAGTGTATTAAATGTATTTATCTTTGTCTTGGTATTTCAATGTCATTTTAAAACTAATATTGGGCTTTAGTATCCTGATACCCCAAAAGTGAATTAATTGAGGATAACAGGATTGTTTGCTCATTTTTCGTTATGGCTCCAGAGTTGTGTTTTTGCAATCCTATATACTTTTTTTTTTTTAATGTTTTAGCAGCTTTAAACTAATTCTTTTATCTGGTATTATATTACATTTCTAGAAATACTGTAACAAAGCACCACAGATCGGGTGGCCTAAAGTAACAGTAATTTATTCTCTCACACTATGGAAGCTTGAAGTCTGAAATCAAGGTATCTGTAGGGAATCATCCTCTGAAGTCTCTAGTGAAGACTCTTTCCTTGCCTCTTCCTTCTTGTGGTTACCAGCAATCTTTGGCATTCCTTGACTTGTGATTGCATGATTCTAATTTCTGCCTTTCATCTTCACATAGCTGTCTTCCCTTTGTGTCTGTGTGTCTCCAAGTCTCCCTCCTTATAAACACACCAGCCTTGGATTGGGACCCACTCTAATCCAATGTGACCCCATCTTAACTTGATCACACCTATTTCCAAATAAGGTCGCATTCACATATACCAGGGGTTAGGATTTGGACATATCTTTTTGGGAGGATACAGTTCAACCTATGGCAAGTGTCATGGTCTCTAGCTGAGCCTGCCCCTTCTGTTGTGCTCCTCTTTGGTTGCTATGCATTAAGGACCAAATATGCAATCATACTAGAATTGCACAGAGACTGGCTATTTGGGAATAGTAAGGGTCTATTCTATAAGCTTTAGTATTTACTATTTCATGTGAATACAAAGAGGCCCTTTTTTAGTTCATTATTTTGAATTTCTCTTTTTGTTTTTGTTTGTTTGTTTGTTTTCTGAGAAAGGGTCTGGCTTTGTCACCCAGGCTAGAGTGCAGTGGCATCCTCATAGCTCATTACAACCTCAAACTCTTAGACTCAAGTGATTCTTCTACCTCAGCCTCCTTAATAGCTGAGACTCCAGGCACATGCCCAGGTTATTTTGGATTTCAGCACTTATGTGCTGTAAATATAAGTGACAAATTACTGTGTCTCATAAAATTATCAACATAGCAACAAACATTTAATGTGTACCTACCATACTAATTGAATATCACTATCTTGGTAGGAGACAGCAATCTTCTAAATCTTTGACTTAAGAGGAAAAATCATGTATGTCTAAACCATTTGGGGTTTTGATGGATATCTCTAAAATTGCTGCACCTAACCACGAGTTTTATGTGTCATTGTTTAGATATCTCAGGAGTATTCAGCTAATGTGACGGTTGGGATGCCGTGATGTCGACTCTCTGCCCGCCGCCATCTCCAGCTGTTGCCAAAACAGAGATTGCTTTAAGTGGTGAATCCCCTTTATTAGCAGCGACCTTTGCATACTGGGACAATATTCTTGGTCCTAGAGTAAGGCACATTTGGGCTCCAAAGACAGAGCAGGTACTTCTCAGCGATGGCGAAATAACTTTTCTTGCCAACCACACTCTAAATGGAGAAATCCTTCGAAACGCAGAGAGTGGTGCTATAGATGTAAAGTTTTTTGTTTTGTCTGAAAAAGGAGTGATTATCGTTTCATTAATCTTTGATGGAAACTGGAATGGGGATCGGAGCACATATGGACTATCAATTATACTTCCACAAACGGAACTTAGCTTCTACCTCCCACTTCACAGAGTGTGTGTTGATAGATTAACACATATTATCCGGAAAGGAAGGATATGGATGCATAAGGTGAGTAGTTTTGAGCTTATTAACCATGCTAACCTAACCATTGAAAGTTTATTTTCTGATGCATTTATATCTAATTTTTAGAAATTATATGCAATTAATGTCAAACAATAGATGTTATTTATTTTGCATCTACCCTATTAGATGCAGATAGATCTGGTCTGATGGCTATGCTCTTCATAATAATTGTGGAAGGTAAGAGATGGTAGCTCCACATTATAGGTAAAAAGCTAAAACTTAGAGAAATTAAGAAACTTTTAGAGCCTGGATTTGTCTTGGAAGCCTTTGAGTCTAAAACCTTTTTTTTCCCTTTCATTGCGTGACCCTGTCTTTCACTTACAGCTTAAACAATTGTTTCATAAGCTGTCAGCCATGTAGCCTTTGATCCCTTTAACTTCTTTGCCAAATTCTCAAATTTGTAAAATGAAGAGGTTGGACCAAATGGTTCCCAGGAGATATTCCTTTTAATTTTGCAGATTAAGCTAGAGGAAATTATCGTTTTCTTCTAAATCCTGTAGTTTAATATATAGCAAATCTACGTTTCAGCATAGTTTTGGCGTATCTGAAGAGCAAATTGAATTCTTCTTATTTTCCAGTTTGATACTAACCTGGAGTCCATTTTAAAGCATTTTCAATTTTATAAAGCTAACCCAATAGTAAGGAAAAATAGTATCTTTTAAAAGAGTAGTTTTTTACTATGTTTGCAGACTTTCCTCTTATTTCTCGTGTGTTTATGAAAATCATTTAAAATCAGGAGGCTCTATATTCCCTAGATTCATCTTGATCTTGTTTAATTTGAAAAGTACAAGTCATTATTTGAAAGCTTGCTGATGTTACATTGACTATTTTCTGCTAAATTACCTGTTTTTTCACTGCAGAATAAACAGTGTTTTGATTTTATTTTGTATTGTCCACAAGAGCATGGATTTGTTAATTTCCTGCCTCCCTGCTTTTATCCCCCTAAGATAGAAAGTATTTTAACTGTAAACTAAATTACACAAGAACAAGTCTACATTGAAAAATAAGCCAATATCAAAATGTTGTGTTTTTTTTTAAATAAACTTTCTTTTTTTTTTTTTTATTTCGGCATATTATGGGGGTACAGATTTTAAGGTTTCAATAAATACCCTTTCCCCCCCCCCACAAGTCTGAGTTTCCAGCATGACCATCCCTCAGATGGTGCACATGTCACTCGTTATGTATATATATACCCGCCCCCCTCTTCCCTCCCCCCTCCCCAATACCCTATTACTGTAGTACCTATGTGTCCACTTAGGTGCTACTCAGTTAATACCAGTTTGCTGGTGAGTATATGTGGTGCTTGTTTTTCCATTCTTGGGAAACTTCACTTAGTAGTATGGGTTCTAGCTCTAACCAGGAAAATATAAGATGTGCTATATTACCGTTGTTTCTTAGAGCTGAATAGTACTCCATGGTATACATATACCACATTTTATTAATCCATTCTTGGATTGATGGGCACTTGGGCTGTTTCCACAGCCTTGCAATTATGAATTGTGCTGCTATAAACATTCGAGTGCAGGTGTCTTTTTTGTAGAGTATCATTAGATCTTTTGGGTAGATGCCCAGCAATGGGATTGCTGGATCAAATGGTAGATTCACTTGTATCGCTTTAAGGTATCTCCATATTGCTTTCCACAGAGGTTGAACTAGTTTGCAGTCCCACCAGCAGTGTAAGAGTGTTCCTCTCTCTCCACATCCACGCCAGCATTTGTTATTTGGAGACTTTTTGATAAAGGCGATTCTCACTGGAGTTAAGTGATATCTCATTGTAGTTTTGATTTGCATTTCCCTGATGATTAGAGATGATGAGCATTTTTTCATATATTTGTTGGCCATTCTTCTGTCTTCTTTAGAAAAGTTTCTGTTCAAGTCCTTTGCCCACTTTTTAATAGGGTTATTTGATTTTTTCTTCCTGATTTTCGTGAGTTCTAAGTATATTCTAGTTATCAGCCCTTTATCGGATACATAGGATGCAAAAATTTTCTCCCATTCTGTAGGTTGTCTGTTTACTTTCATGACTGTTTCTTTGGCTGTGCAGAAGCTTTTTAGTTTCATCATGTCCCATTTATTTTAAATAAACTTTCTTTTCCTCAGGAAAGGCAAGAAAATGTCCAGAAGATTGTCTTAGAAGGCACAGAGAGAATGGAAGATCAGGTAAAGCACAGATTGCATACTGTCAAATATCATTATTCCCATCCATGGCTTATATGTCTGTATAGGGATGATACTGTTTTTGTTAAGGCTTTGAAGACATGTTAGTTTGACAAAGAGAGCCTGAAAATAAACAGAGCCTTTATAGAGGTGTATAAAATAAACGATGACAATTTCCGTATCTTATATCTGAAGAGTTAAATAAGTAAACAAAGGAAAATAGTAATTGCATCTACAAATTAATGTTTTGTACTTTTTCTGTTTGTACAGAATAAGTTTTGGAAAACTTGTTCATAGTGAAAATAAAAACTTTTCTATGAGATTTTCTTTAAAGTTTTGCTTTCCAAACATTTACGCAGAAATAGCCATAATAGGAGGAGAGTGCATGTACCCCTAAGTTGTCTGTCTGGGGGTGCAGGCCTAGCTCTAACCACAGTATTTCTTTAAAGTCTTACGTTGTATGTTTAAAACTCTCATAATTTACATTTTATTCTATGGAATAGCTATTTGCTTAAATATTGAGATTTGCCAGTGATATTCCTTACCCTCTTACTATTCAGGCTTCTGGCAACATAAACTCTTTAGGAAAATGTGCCATGTTCATCCCATGGCTTTGAGTGGTACTGGCAACAGACACCAGAATTTGAGAAGCATGATTGCAAGGGTATGGCTTCCCTTGTAGAAATTAAATGCAAACCATTTCTGTGTAGAGTGCTGACATGGTTTGTCTTGAAGGGGAATCTCCAGTGGAGAAGAGGTGCTTCACTTTTACTCCCATTACCCCTGGCATACTACCTCCATTGCTCCTCCTTATAAAACTCCACTCTTTTAAAAAAAACAGGCAGGTTGCCGTTTCTCTGGTTCTCCATTGCATGACTGAGATAGATGATAATTTAAAAAAATAATTTTTCTAAAAACTTGTGAAAATATAGGGACATAAATAAGGAAAATACAAAACCCTATGAAGTGATCTCCTTTGCCAAATTGTTATCTTTGTACTTTTATAGATAGCTTTTCAGTCCAGAAGAAGTAATTCTCAAAAAAGGTCTGAGACTTAAAGGAAAAGGCTTCCCTTTACCCAGAGAAGCCCAACCTTTATGTATTGGTCAATAAACTGGGTCCCCAGTAATGAGGTGACTTTGACCAGTCTCTAAGCTGCTTGTTATGACTATTTAAGTAGAGTTATCTCAAGGTAAGGAAATTTAGGGCCAAATAAAATTCTGCTTTTACTGGGATTTTGTTTTTCAACCCAAAAAGCTGTGCATAACTAAGTTGATCACTATTAATGAATTTATGTCTCTGTTTTAAGAACTGTGCTTGAAAATGTTATCCTACTGTTCTATGTCAGAAGGAAAGTATATTTGAGACAAACTGACGTTTTTAAAGGGGAAACATTGTACTTACTATTGAGAAGTTCCACTTAGAGAAGTACAAGGAGGAAAAAAAACATGGGGGATTTTCCTTTAGAGCCTCTTCTGTATTCAGCCTTGTAGGATTTTTTGTTTTTGTTTTTGTTGTTGAGTTTCAGTGAGGATATCCAGTCATTTACAATGATGATAAATGTCTGAGATCCTATGTACAAGATACTCTGCATGAAGTACTACATATGCTCAAACCTAAGGGGAGATATTTTCCCAAAATTTCTGAAAAGGAGGAGTTGCCTTATAATTGAGTCCTTGCAAATATCACACTATGTGCTTTCAAAGACTTTATTTTGAACATTAAATACTTCTTAGGGAAGACACATTAGTCTGCTGGAATAACTTCAGTCAGTGCTGATTTTGGAATCCTACAACTATCATCTGATAAAATCACTTCACAAGGAAGGAAATTTAACACAGTTTCAGTCATTATTCTTGTTGGCTTATATGTATGTGTTAATTGTAATTGTAAGCAAGGATTTTAATGATTAAAATGCAAACCCAATAAGTGGTTAGTTGTGGAGGTTACTGCAGGATGGATTTTTAAAATAAAACTTTCTGTATTTATATATATATATTTCTATATGATTTTCTATATTATGCAGCTGAGCTTAGGATAAAATTTCCAGGGGTAACATCAGATTTAAATTCTCAAGCAACTTACATAATAAGGGGTTCTGAAAAACTAAAAAATGGCTCTAGGTCTGACAGAGGTCCTAACTGAAAAGATGATTATGGAGAGTTTGAATATAATCATTTCATGAAATGTGAGTGAGGAAAAACAACTATTATTCATTTTAAATAATATATGATTTTTAAAATATGTTTAGCTAAAAGTTGGTAGACATTTGATTTTCATCTGTATCTCAAAAAGTTTACATATTCAGGTTGGTCAGAAAAGCAGTAGGTTGGTGGTAGTAATAAATAAATGATGGTTCACCCATATTTGATATATTTTACATTTATGGTGTTTTGTATTTACTTTTCAGTTTGATTCTATTAATAGAAATTATAGATTTCAAAATTATATTTTTGTGATGTAATAAGTAGTAGTACTATCTCGAAAGAACTAAAGGAAATTTTTCTGTTTTGATTCTGAAATTATGAAAATTTTGATTTGCATTTGGGTAGGTTATACCTTATTATGAATGTGGAGGTTGAGTATTGATTCACGCTTTCCTATTGAGTTATTTGGTAAGGATTTCAAAATATTTATGCTTGGCTCTCCTCATTTTTAAATATGAAATGTATTCATGACCTTTAACAAGACTTTTTATATCTGAAGTCAATTTCAAAGGAGATAATTTCTGAATGTGACATGGTGATTTAATTATTGCGTGTAGCAGTAAATGATAAACTATGGATTCTACACTCACTAAAGAAAATTATTCCTGGAAGAATGAAAATAGCTTTAGATAGCATGTAAATCCTTTAGAAATATTTTGGAGTAGTAGACTTGTTTGAGGTTGTGTTTAAAAAAGTTACCAAGTATTTCCATCAAAGAATGTTATTCTCGCTTTCATTTTAAATTTCTTATTGTCCAGCTTATCCCATATTATGTGATTTTCTTCATTTTACTTTATTTTATAGGGTCAGAGTATTATTCCAATGCTTACTGGGGAAGTGATTCCTGTGATGGAACTGCTTTCATCCATGAAATCACACAGTGTTCCTGAAGAAATAGATGTAAGTTTTTATATTATTAAATGGGAATAATTATATTCTTTATCAATTCCCTTGAGTTATATTACGATTATGTATATTGGTAATATTCTAATTTTAGTAGTAATCATTTTGTCATACATTCTATTCATAGATTGTATTAGCCACTAACAAACAAGGACACAAAAATCCTGGATTTTAGGGCAAAACAGAGGCTTTTTTGATCAGTGATAATTATGACAAAATTAAATTTATTTCATTTATTTCACCACTGTTATAATTCACCACTGTTATAGAAGTGGGGGAATCCCAGCCTTTATAGAAGCGATTAGTATTTAATGCAGTGCTTATTGGACATTGTGCTTATTGCACAAAGCAATGTGCAAATAAGTGGCTGTTAATGGAAGTTTACTTATATTCCCCAATTTGATTTCCTTAATTATTTGTTGAGGACATTTTGAATCATATACTATGTGTATATAGAGATATCTTTAGGGAACTATTCTTGTTGCTTTTTTTGACTTTGTCCTTAAGATAGATCTCATTCTGACACTCAGAAGAGGAAGTTGTTCTTGTAAAAATTGTTGTTTAACCTGCCTGACTGGCTTTCACATTTGTTTTAAAAGTTAATGGTAGTGCACAGAGATTGTTTTATGAGAAGTCTTAATTTTCAGAAATGAAGACAATATTTATATTGAATTTAGGTTTCAGAAAACTTGTATATTAAAAAGCGTTATTTCAGCACTATGTTATAGGTAGACTAATTTTTTTTTTTTTGGTACATTTTAGATAGCTGATACAGTACTCAATGATGATGATATTGGTGACAGCTGTCATGAAGGCTTTCTTCTCAAGTAAGAATTTGTCTTTAAGTAAAAGCTGGGTGAAGCAGATATAAATCTTATGCTTTGGAAGGAAGAAAACAGAAATATCTACCTGCTCAGATTATTCTAGTAACAACATGGCATCCTTGAACTGTTGCTTAAATTTGTGTTATTTTTTCACTCTTTATATTTCTGTGATATATTTAACATTTAATCTAAAAGCCTTAATGGCTTGAATCAGAAACACTTTTGTCCTAAATCTGTTCAGTGTCAGCCATTCATACATCATTTTTAATCCCATTTGACTTGAAATAAATCACTTAACCTCTTTACATATCAGTTGCTTCAGCTATAAAACGATGATATTTTACTAACTAACTGGGTTATGGTAAGGCCTAAAGGAGAGAATTTCTGTGAAAGGCCCCTGAAAAATATAAGTTCAAGACAAATAAAAGATGGCATTATACTTACAGCTTTGCTGTTTATCACGTTAAGCTATTCTGAGTTGTTTGAAGCTCACTCACTTTTTTTTTGTTTTTAGTTTGTGAAATTGTTTTACAGCCAATGTTTTTAATCTATTTTCTTTAACTTACAGTGCCATCAGCTCGCACTTGCAGACCTGTGGCTGTTCTGTTGTCGTAGGTAGCAGTGCAGAGAAAGTAAATAAGGTAATATATTTTATAATCTAGCAAATGATGTGACTTTTTAATACTGCTACCATATATCATGGGTTATCATTTAAATGTTAGGTTGTAATATCTAATAGTATAAGGAAGCAATATAATCTCACCAAATTGCTGTGTTACTCTGTGGGCAAAAGTGAATTTCAGATAAATTGTTTGCATAGGAGTCATTTATCAGTTTATTTTGATAACTGGTAAATAACAGTCTCAGTTGTAAATAAATGATTTTGAGAATATTTTAAAATCAGATATTTTAGAGATATTTGTCTTCTGTTTCCTTTAATAAAAATGAAGAGCCATGTAATTTTGGTACCAGTTCCAAAGGCATGTTATTCGATTGTTCATCTTGATTTCATTGTCTTGGTTTTCCCCCTAAATCGAATCGATTTAGCTTTTAGGAAGCTGTGGCAATTAAGTGGTCAATGGAGGTTGTACTTTATTCAGTGATGTTTGTGACCACTTCCTTTAGTGCTATATGAGTTAATAAAGAATTAATGAACAGCTAAATTTCCAAGCATTAGGCAATAAACTAATCGATCTTGCACTTTTCTTCACTGACCATTAATTACAAAAAGTCCAGAGATAAGCCCATATATCTATCACTTTAAGTAAACCTAATTTTTTTAAAGTTTTATATCAAAAATATGTTAGGAATGATTTTCACTTTATAAAGATATGTTTAATTTATTTTTTTCTGTAATAAGCCTACCCTCTGTACTTACATGAGCCTAAATTAATCAAAATTATATTCCTTGGCCAGGCATGGTGGCTTATGCCTATAATCGTAACACTCTGGGTCTGTGAGGCTGAGGCAGGAGGATCGCTTGAGGTCAGGAGTTCAAGACCAGCCTGAGCAAGAGTAAGACCTCCGTCTCTCTAAAAAAAAAAAAATTATATTCCTTGTATAACCATTTATGCAAGATTAGTTGCATTTAGGGACTAGTGATCTTAGTTATTATTTCTGTTATCCCGAAATCTGTTGATTTCAATCTGGGACTTCCAGAGCCATAGCGTTCCACAGAGGGACTTCTCAGTCTGCTTTATGGAGGAAGAAAGTCTCCATGGTTGGGGCTGTGTATTTTAAACATTTTCTCCTCCTCCAGCCTCTTTAGTCAGAACAGCTTCCCTTTTATCTTTTTAATTTGAGAAAAAAGTTGACACTGCTCTAGGTTGAAAACCACTACTTTAACAGAACAACTCTTGATGCAGTCTGAATTTGAACATAGTTACATGGCTTTTTATTTTTCCTAATTGAGTTGTAGGTCAAGTCCTGTTTGAATCCGAGATTTCTAAACCCCAACCAATGACTTGCTTATGTCAAATTTGATAGAATTAATTCTATTGAAGGATTTCGACACTATTATTTCTTGTAATCAATTTCACATGTATAACTACTACACAGAAACCATAATTCTGCCTAATTTAAATGCATTTAGTTTTCTTGTCCAAAATTATTTGCTTGTTTGAAAAACAGTTACTGCTGAGTAGAGATAGATCAGTGATTATATTAGGTCATTATTTCCCACTGAAATATAGGTTCCATGGTCAGATAAGTTCGAGAAAGTCTGCATATTGTATCATTCACCTGGAGAGTCATAATACATAAATAAACATTAAAGGTTTGAGATACCATACATAAGTTTACCAAGCATTTCCTAAACTTATTTGACCACAGAATACCTGTTTTAAGCAACAACTGTTAAAACCCATGGACTGTTATTACTGGTGACTAAGAAATACTTAGTTCTTAGGATGTATTTTATTGATGATAACAATCAAAATTCCTATTCAAATTTCTTTCATAAGCAAATCAGTGGTCCTTTACTTCATATTTTAATGCTAATATCTTTTCTTTTATAGATAGTGAGAACCTTATGCCTTTTTCTGACTCCAGCAGAGAGAAAATGCTCCAGATTATGCGAAGCAGAATCATCATTTAAATATGAGTCAGGGCTCTTTGTACAAGGCCTGCTAAAGGTATAGTTTCCATTTATCACGAGTGAAACCAATTCTAAAAGATTATTTTGAAACTCTTCATAAACATATTTTAATTATTAGCATTTAATGTATCTCATATGCCCAGAAACTGAACACAGCTCTGAACATAGAGTATATATGTTTTATGGATTTACAGTTAGTATTATCAGTGAAACACCATGGAGTATCTTTTGTTTTTCAGGTGGTTCTCTGTAGCTAAGTGTCTAGCCTCAGGATTTTTTTTTTTTAACATATGCTTGAATCAGCCTATACATCTAAAATGGGAACATTTCTTTTTTACTGAATAGATTTGAATTTTTGTGTTACAATTTTGGGTTTATGTACCATATTCACTTATTAAAAAGAAATCAAAAGCATCTTAAAAGTGTATAGGATTTGAGCAGTTCCCACATGTTTTATAAAATATGCATATATTTCTAATATGTAACATATATTCAAAAAAACTTATATTTTTGAAACTTTTATTTGCTCAAGTAGCAAAACAGATAAGTGTAAATTAGCAATTATTTTCAGTATAAAGGGAAAGACAGTTCACTTTGTTGAATCTATTGTTGGTATTTTAATTATAGTCAAAAATGTGAAGACATAGCTTTTCTAATGGCTATGTGATTCTCTCATAGTGAATGCTTTCTTGAGGATGTAGGCATAGCAAAATGAAAGAAAAAAATATTAAAAATTGTTGCAAATAAAAATTGAGCATTTTCAATAATATGCCTGCTATTAGCTCAGAATAATAGTATTTAAATGTAGAAATTAGTTAGAGGAAACATATTTCTAATTTGAATTTTATAAATCTGAAAATTAGAACTTCTTCCTGTTAAAGTCATAATAAAGTCTTCATACTTTATTTCCTCAGCACCCTCTCATTTAATTATACAATTTTAGCCCTGAAAGAAACCTGTACTAGGGGCATAGAGAAAAACTTGAAATTATGATTTAATGAAAAAATATTTAAGAGTTTTACATTCAAATACAAATTATATAGCCTTCAAGAAAATACCTTGACATTATATGAAGATGATTATTATAATATTATAAGAGTGAAAAAATGGAAATAGCCCCTGTCTTTCTGTTCATATGACATAGCACAGTACCTCATATTCAGTAGATACTTGTTACATGGTAACTGGCTACCCAGCTGACTCTACCTGGAAAGAAATAAGCTTTTTACTGATAAAAATACATTTTCATTGAGACACATAAAAAGCATAGAATAATCAAGAAAGAAAAAGTCACTTGTAATTTCACAATCCAGTGAATAACCACTGTTAATATTCAGCATATATCTTTCTAGTCTTTTTTTATTCTGTATCTGTTTTCTTTAAGCCCCCCCCCCCATTGGATTATACTCTGCTTGTTCTAATCTGCTTTTTTCCTAATATATTGTATGCCTCTCAATTTCAAAACAAACTTCAGCAGCTTCAATTTTAGAAGAGAGATAGTAAGCCCATTTTTATTTATGTAATCACTTCTCCTTTCGGATGCATAAGGTTGTTTATGATGTGTTGCTATTAAAACCAGTCAGTGCTATAGTGAACACTTCTGTCACTCAAATTTTACACGCAGTCATGAATAATTTCTTAGGACAAATTTTTAGAGATGGATTTGCTGAATCAAATCCAGTTTTTTTTTTTTTTTCAATTAAAAAAATAAATCTTCATATTGTTTGGCATAGAAGACAGTACATTTTCCTTTCATTTTGACAGGATTCAACTGGAAGCTTTGTGCTCCCTTTCCGGCAAGTCATGTACGCTCCGTATCCCACCACACACATAGATGTGGATGTCAATACTGTCAAGCAGATGCCACCCTGTCACGAACATATTTATAATCAGCGTAGATACATGAGATCAGAGCTGACAGCATTTTGGAGAGCCACTTCGGAAGAGGACATGACTCAGGATACGATCATCTACACAGATGAAAGCTTCACTCCTGATTTGTATGTGGTGCTCTGCCTTCTGCTGCTGTTCTCAAACAATATGAAAACTTTTGTCAAGCAATGTGTATCTTTTATGAGTCAAAACAAAACAAAAAAGTCATGTTTAAAAGAAAAGAAACATTGCTAACAGAATCATGCTTGAAGAAACAATCAAGCATTTTTTAAATGTTCCATTTTATTTCCTATAATTGTGTTTCCCCTAAAATAAGTAAGATTTACTAAAATACTAAAATAAGTAGCCCTTAAAACAAATATTTAACTGTTTATTTAGTAAGTATATATTGAGCTCCTAGGCACTGTTACTAGGTGCTGGGGTGGATAGTGGCCAACCAAAGAGGCTTAGCCCCCCTACATTGCTTATAGCCTAGTATATAACAGTTATTAGACAGGCTTATTAACTAAACCAAAAAACTAATTCTAACTCTTTTTTTCTTGACATATGAATATAAAATATAGCAAAGATGTTGAACTATATTAATAGAGCATTTTTTACTTTGTATTTCAAATTATTTTTCATTTTTTACCAGGAAGTCTGATCAGTAAATTAAAAAAGGGAAAATAGTGGTAATTAAATGTTGAATATGGACCCAATTGGAAAAAAAATGAAGGTGATAAATCTGTAATGATAAAACCCCAAGAAAATACTTAAATGATGTTTTGAAATGAGGGAAAGAATTATAGTATACTGTTATGGTTCTCTTTTATTAATTCAAAGTGGTTGCAGTAATGCTTGGCACATAGAATTTACTCAGTAAATGTTAACTATAATAATCTAGGTTAAGCATATAAGGCAGCAGTAATATTGGAGCAGGCAACTGTATTGTGTGTTTCTACAGAAAAATTTTGAGCTTAGGAAACAGACACATGAAGTACCAGTAGCCACACACTAAGTGTTGACCAAAAACATAGAATAGTAACATCATGTCCAAGGGATCCCCCAGCCTCCTATGTCTCTAGGCACAGAAAGATAACTTAATTAGGACCCATTTTTTTTCCCTAGTTTTCCAGTGTTCTTATTGGTTCTTTAGAAAGCTTTGGGAAATTGGTTTAGAAAATGAATTGGTCAAACCGGAATTCTACACCACTAAGTTTTCACCTATTGGTAATTTTGGCATACATGTAAAAGTTCTCAAAATTAATCTGTGCCCTCAAACATTTTTTTCTTTCCTACCGTGTTTAGTGCTTTTTCCCTCTTTTGATCAGTTGCTTAGGAGCTCCTTCTGGGTAATTTAGTGAACTTTAGAATTAGTTTGCAACCATTTAGTATTTTTGTTTTGTTTTGTTTTTTAGAGGAAGTGTATGTATATGCTTTTAACATTTCTTACTCATTTTTATCCAGCTATGTTTGTTTTGCTGATTTGACATACTATGATTAGCCAGCTATTCTTGTTTTGCTTATGACTAAATAATGTTGTGAATTTTTAAATTTTCTTTCCAGCTCTAAGCAAATTTTCTGAACATAAAATTGTCACCAAATAATATTTTCAACCACTAGATTATGTGTTAACTTTTACGTATAATATACTCATTTTTACTTTTAAGTGTATTTTTTAATGTTATTTACTGTTATTTTAAATTTTAACTTTTTAAAACAATTTCAGTCACTACCAGTACAATAAAAATCAGTCACTGGAAATATTCTTTTTTAACATTTTGCTTGATCTGATTCACTTATGACCAAGACATTCATTCAGTGAAACACGTATAATTAGAACACTAGACTTAAATAGCCTTGTTCTCTGTCCAAAGTCCAAGGAGGGGTCCTGTCAGTGCCAACCCAGTAATCATGAAATGCTGATGTTTTTCCCCCTTCTCAGTTTCCTTCTTCAGTAGTTTGATACACCCATCTCCTAAGATTGGAAACTTGAGGTACTTTCCTGTTTGTTTCTGCACACTCCCATCCTCTTTCTCTGCTCCCCTGCCACTGAATATATATATATATATTTATATATATATATATATATATATATAATGATTCCTTGCCACTTCCAGTTAAAAATCTCTTTCCTTATTAAATGTTATGTTACCCCTCTGACCTCAGAAGAACCTAGGGAATATGGAAGAGAAAAGATAAAAGGGAGATGGGGCCCAGGAAGGGAACAATCTCTTTTGTTTGTTTTAGCACCTACTGTATCCTAGGTGCTGTTAGATGCACATTTTCTCATGTGGGCATTATGTCTTGACTTCTCACTCTGGTCATTGCCAAGGGAGGTAATACTTTCTTGTGTATCTGGTTCATGTTACTTGCAGATATTGGGCCTATCAATGCAAAACTGGTGGATAGTCATCTAGTTGTGTTCTCTTATCCTATTTAAATGTTTCTTCACATTTATCCTTTTATCTTGGTTTTGGTGATAGTGGTAGTATGTATATATTTGTTGCTGTTTTTTTTTTTTTTTTTTTGACATGGCAAGAATTGGTAGTTATAATTACTAGTTGCCTAAGGCTCTCAACTTTTTTTTATAAGGTATGGGTACTAAAATAAGTTGATACATGTTATATATACATACTCTTCCTAGGGACTGCTTATATTCTTTAGAGAAAATAATTACATATTAACCTGACAATTACCAGTATATCCTTGAGTTAAAATGAATATATATTTTGTATCTCCAAATATATATGTCTATGTTACAAATATATTTATAGATAATATATCATTTATAAGAATTTAAAATATTTATTGGCTACAGTGAGGGATTATGGAAAGACATATATATAGCTATTTCAACATTTGAACTTTTTTGTTTTCTTCATAGGAATATTTTTCAAGATGTGTTACACAGAGACACTCTAGTAAAAGCCTTCCTGGATCAGGTAAACATTGAACTTGAGATTATTAGAGTGGATTAATGACATGTTTCTTTTATAATGTATCCTACAGTTCCTGTACTATATATATAAAGCATCATCTTTTTGTAGTATCTTTATGTAATATCTCTGATCTTGCTAAAGTGTCTAAATGATTTTTCTTTTGAATTATTAATGGGGAATAGCTTGTATATTAACAATTAAAGATACAGCATTCTCCACATCAGATAACAAGTATTTTAATATTTTAATTTCAAGCACCAACCTATAACTCAAGGAGTTTTTTGTCTTTAAAAGAGGAAGTTGTGAGGCGAGGCATGATGGGTCACACCTATAATGCTAGCACTTTGGGAGGCTGAGGAGGGAGGATTGCTTGAGACTGGGAGTTCAAGACAGCCTGGGCAAAATAGTGAGACACAGTCTCTACAAAAAATTTAAAAATTAACCAGGTGTGTGGTGGTGTGTGTCTGTAGTCCCAGCTACTCAAAGGCTGAGGCAGAGGATGGCTTGAGCCAAGGAGTTGGAGGTTGCTATGAGCTATGATGACACCACTGCACTCTAGCCCAGGAAATAGAACAAGATCCTGTCTCATAAAAGGGGGGGGGTGTTTATTTGCCTTAACTGAGCCAAAACTATATTTAAAACTTAGTATACTTCTATTTAAATGATAGCATTTTTATTTCTTTATTCTTTTATAAAAAGTCTGCTTAATTACACATTTGAAAAAAATTATAGTTTATATGGAACTTATTTCTTAATATTCCAGCTTTGTCATAATATCATTCTGGGGATCAAGCCAGGAAACTCTGTCACAGATGTAGTTTTGAGATAATGAAATCCTTATGTTAAGTAGAAATTTTGGATCCAGGTCTATGTGGTCCGTGACATATCGCAAAGTTCAAGGATAATTCATAGCATGGAATTTCACGCTTCTCAAGCGGAAATAAAATCCCTCCTGCTTTCCACCCCTACACATGCACACATTCTACTCCCCTTACCCCCAGCAAGAGTAGAGATACGTGAATAAATCAGTTTCTTGGAGTTTCAGTTTTATTTGAAGTGTCAACTTCTGGGATCTTCAATTTTATTTGAAGATTTGGGCACAAAAGTTAAGTAACACAATATGAAATAACTTACATAATGAGTTCTAATAATGAAATAAACATGGATATATTTTGAGGTAAAGTTTGAATGTGTTTTTAAGGATAAAATAGAAACTTCAGAAAACTGTCAGATTGCTTCTGGACCCAGCGCTTCTACCACACTGTGCTGTCTGTTAGGGGCCATCAGTGGAAATGGTTGAGGAGATGCTCTGATGTGTATTGTCTGCCAGGCACTTTCAGTGCTGAAGGTGCCGTATAAGTGGAATGGGAGCAAGCAGTGTATTAATGTGGTTCATCTTCTTGCAGGTCTTTCAGTTGCAACCTGGTTTCTCTCTCAGGAGTACTTTCCTTGCACAGTTTCTGCTTGTCCTTCATAGAAAAGCCTTGACACTAATAAAATACATAGAAGATGATACGTGAGTAAAATTCTTATGTGGAAGAAAAACCTTTGCTTTGGATATTTTCTATATTATAATTTTTTTTAATTTTTCATTATTTGTAGGCAGAAGGGAAAAAAGCCCTTTAAATCTCTTCGGAACCTGAAGATAGACCTTGATTTAACAGCAGAGGGCGATCTTAACATAATAATGGCTCTAGCTGAGAAAATTAAACCAGGCCTACATTCTTTTATCTTTGGAAGACCTTTCTACACTAGTGTGCAAGAGCGAGATGTTCTAATGACTTTTTAAATGTGTAACTTGACAAGTATATTTCATCACAATCATGATTGCTGCTAAAGTAGCTCAGTGGTTTGGGGAAACATCCTTTCCCCAGGTCATGCCGCCAGAGTTCTACTCAGCAATTGCAGTTAAAGCCAGTTACACTACAGTTGTCACGAGAGTCTGTAAGGGGATGTCAGGTGCATCGTTACAATGGATGTCTCTTCTCCTAAATTTACTCTCTTGGGATACAGGCTTATGTTTACAATTATAATAAATACTCTTGCTGTCTTTTAAAGATATACTAATAGGATGTAAACTTGACCACAACTACTGTTTTTTGAAACTTACGATTCATAGTTTACATGTATCAAAGTGAAATCTGAGTTATCTTTCACAGGTTTAATACTAGTTGACCTTCCATCTTTTGGTGTTCCTGGGTGTTTGGGATTACTGTAATACTTCTGCAATCACCTGAAAATAAGAGCATTTAAATCATTGCAGTTCTACAGAAAAGAAGTTAGCTTAAACATAGGTTGAGCTTTAGAAAGAAAATATTAATCAAGCAGATGTTTAATTGAAATGAATTATTAGATCCTACTTTATAGACTTAGTCCTTGGAATTCAGTCTGTGTAGAAATGCCAAGCAGTTGTGTACAGTCCCTGATTATGGGGACCCACAGTCAGGGTGTCTTTTGTTTGTTTTATTGTTACTGCTGTTGTCAATATCCTATATAGTTGAGCTCTGTCCAGGAAAATATAGGAAATTGTATTTTATGTTTTACTAGTTGTTGCCAACTTTTTAAGTTAATTTGCATTATTTTTGAGCCAAATTGAAATGTGCACCTCCTGTGCCTTTTTTTTTCCTTTGGAAAATATAATTACTTGGAAGAAGTTCAGCTTTCACTGGTCAGTCATTTCCATCTTGTCCATCTTGCAGAGTCTTACCATGTACCTGATTAGGCAATCACTATAACTGAGATTATAAAATGCATTAGAGAATATACTAACAAGATCCTTTTTAAGGAACATAAAACAGTTCCTTATCTTCTTCCCTGTTATATCTCTGCCCATTTTTGAAGTTGTTGCCAGGTTGCCTGCATCACATAAAGAGTAGCAGGAGAAACTTTACTAAAGTGCTATTTTTCTAGGTGCTACTTTGGCAGAACTTAGTGGTCTGTTTCATTTGTTTCCTTAATTTGTTTGGACCATTTTGTTGGCTGTGAAATAACTGATTAACATAATTCTTTGCTAAAACCATGTTGACATAGTAGTGTACACAAACACAAATATTTTTTATTTAAAACTGTGGAAGTAACTTGAAAGGGAAAATATATTTATAAAAAAGGGATAAAGTGATAGAGCCCTTCTGCCCTATCCCACCAAATTTAATGAAAAGACACATTCTATTCTGAAAGGTCATAATAGCTTTCACATCATGAATCAGAAAGATATAGACATCTTGATTTTTAAATAAACATTGAACTAGATGACTGATAAACTATAACTCAGTCATGAAAAAATATATAGATATCACCTTGTAGTGTCCCATACTCAATGCTTCGTATACAAGAGATTCTTATTTATATAAGTGCTCTTTTCTTTTGCTGGTTTATTGTACTGTCATATGGAATGTAAATTGTACAGTGAAATAAGTTATTAAAGCATGTGTAAACATTGTTATATATCTTTTCTCCTAGAAGGGGAATTTTGAATAAAATATCTTTGAAATTTTGTCTCTTTCAATTATTTGTTCAGGAAAAGCACTACTGTGATATTAGAAGACTGATCAGCTTCCTGTTTAGTTGATAATCATGCTGGATCTAAACTATTTTTTTAAATTAATTTTTTGGCTGGGCATGGTGGCTCACACCTAAAATCCTAGCATTTTGGGAGGCCAAGACAAGAGGATCATTTCAGCCCAGGAGTTCAAGACCAGCCTAAACAACATAGTGACACCCTATCTCTACAAAAAACTTCTTTAAAAATTAGCCGGATATGGTGTTGCATACCTGTAGTCCCAGCTACTCAGGAGGCTAAGGCAGGAGGATCTCTTGACCCTTGGAGTTTGAGGTTGCAGTGAAGGACTAAAAGGATTTAAGTCATACAGAGTATGTTCTCTGACCACAATGGAATTAAATTATAAACCAAAAACAGATATCTGGGACAACCTCAAAAACTTGGAAACTAAATAATGCTTTTAAAAGATTAGATAATTTTGTGTGTTTGGGGGACAGGAGGAAATTGCAAAAAGGGAGGTATCAGAGCATTGTGGAATGATTTCTATTAATATGAAGAGTGGAACTCAATCTGCCTTTGATGTTTCCCCATTATAGCCCATGCTTCACATAGATAACAGCATGATCCTCCTAAAATTAAATCTGGTGACCACTTCTGCTTAATGGCTCTCCGACACAAAATTAAGTCCAAGGTCCTAGCACACAGTTCTGTTCATGCCTCTAACTTTACTTGCCACAGAGCTGCCTAGTAAGTATTTCTTTTGTTGCGTTTGTTACACTTTTCTTTTGCTTGTTTATCTCCCCAGCTAGGCAAGAGAACAAGATTCTTGTCTTTTTCATTTTTGTGTCTCAGTGCTTAGCATGAGGTTTTACAAAGCATGCTTCCTGTAAATGTTAGCTGAATTAATATAATGAGCATATTAAACATTCATTTTTTGTCCTATCCAAAAAGAATCATTTCCTGTAAATTGAGGAAATTCCTTTCTTTATATAATCAGAAACTTTTTCCAGAAAATCCTTCATTAAAATTGAGCCTGTACACAACCCAGCTCTAAAATTTCAAAGACTTTGGGCAGTGATTTTCAGTCTTTTTGAAGTATTAATACCCTATCATTTTCTGTTTCTGCATTTGTGCCTCACTATCTCATCTCTTGCTGAAATGTTCTGTTTAAATTAATTGCTGGATAAATTGCTAAGCACTTTTCATCAGACCAATTAGGAAAATGGTGAGTATCCTTCTGAGGAGTGTGGACATTCAAGAAATCTGATCCAGTATTTAGAAAATCATTCCTGAGCTCAGAGTTGGCGCAAACTGGCACCTTCTGGCATTTGCTTGTGGGTGGGGAATGTGGAATGCTTTGAAAGCTGAATGAGTTTGTCAAGTTTTAAAATTCCCTTATGGCTAAAGGAAAACAGCATTCATTGTTTAAAAACACCATTGTTTGTTTTTTCTTCTTTTCTATTCTTTGGAGCCTGAATTTGCAAAAACACTCACACCCAGCATTTTGCTTCATGTACTTCTCCTAAGAATTCTGGAGACGTGAATATTGTGGAAACATTTTCATTGTGATTGTTCATAATGTTCATAACAAATGGTGAAGAGTCAGTTTTAATGCTCATACTGAATTTTGTGGAAAAGGATCATACTTCTTTTTGTCTCTGTAGGCAGATGTTAGAGCATGGGTACTGGAACCAGACTTCCAAGGCTCAAATCCTTGTTTTTCCACTTCCTAGCTGTAACCTTAGTGCAAGCCTCAGTGTGCTCATCTATTTTTTAAGAACAGAACCTACCTCATAGGGTTTCTTGAAGATTAAGAATGCTTGGAAGGGTAACTGGCACAGAGTAAGTACACAATAAAATTGTGTTGTGGCTAATATAGCTGTCATTATCATCATTGTTAAGCAATTAAATATAGAGTTCCCAAACCTGATTATTTAAACCATAGCAATTCTATAGCCATGATTCTAGGTGATACCACCTCAGCAGCAAGATTTATTTTCTTAGCTTGAGCCCACCACTGCCTCATTGCACATAGTAGAGAGTGTGGCCTTAGGCGAAAGTCATTATAGGAAATGAGAGAGGGTGCCTGTGAGGAAGTCTCCAGAAGCCTCACCCGGTTTTCAGATCTGTCCACTTTACTCCATCTCCACTGCCACTATTAAGACCTCATCATTTCTCATCCAGATGAATTCAACAGCTCTGGTCTCCATGGTTTCACCCACTAACGGCCCCCTTCCCCTTGCCCACCCTATTTTCTCCACTTAAGGTAGAGCAATCTTTCTAATATGAAAGTCCTGACTCACTTGCTTTAAAAAACCCTGAGTGACAGCTTCAACACAATAAAACCCACAATCCAAGGTGAAGCATGGGGACACCCCTCCAACTTTTTCTCTCGCTGCTCATACTCTCATGAGGAGCCCTGATGAACTCTCTAGTTTTCCCCAACTCACCTTGGTTGTATCACTGGGCCTGTGCACGTGCTGATCCCACTACCTGGGGTACTTGCCCTCTCCTCACTGGGATGAGCTTTACTTACCAGTCAGGATTCGCCTTTAGGAGGGTGTCCACATGTTTCCAGGGCCCTCCCCTCACTCCAGATGGAGAGCATTTCAGACTTGAAGCTCCATCAGACAGGACCTTGTCTATGAACTACCTTATACCCAATTGCATGGCACATAATTATTAAATATATGTTGAGTTAATTACGCTCAGAGCTCTTGTTAGTTTCTGTGCTTATAGTTCTAACATAGCACTTAAAGCATTATTATTACGGATTTGTTTATGTCTTCCATTAGACTGTGAGGTCCACAAGGCTGGGACATTGTCTTATATATCATTGTATCTCCAGCTTCCAGCATAGTGCTTGTCATGAAAAAAGGAACTCAGTAAGTTCTGAATGAATAAATAGTATCAACATGTCCCGACCCGCGGGACCTTCTGTTACTCGCGGGGGTCAAGGGGGACCTTGCCTGAAAGAGATGGGCGAGAGAAAGGAACGAAACCAAGCAAATGGTTGTCAAGGTCTGCTTTACTTATATTCTTAGTAGGTTTTATAAGCATACAGAAACAAGGAAGTAGAAACAAAAAATAGAGTGGGGCGACGATGAGGCTTGGGTCTGGGTTAATCAGCCTCAATCAGCGTCTTATCGGTATCCTGTTTTTGACTGGTTACTCATTTCTAACCTGGCAGGTGGTCGGGAACTATTGCAGTCAGCACTCCCTGGAGCATCTCGTGGTCATGGAATGCATTCTTCTCGGAGCTATAGCTGGAATTTTTCAGGGCGAAGTCCGTGCGTAGGACGAGTCATAGGGGAATTGAGGGTCTTTGAGGGTCCTTGCCTCTAACATCAACATACCATTCATCTCAGGTTTAAAGATGCCCCAAATTCTCAAGCAAGGAGATTTATGGACTACCCCCACCCCAAACCCACCAATTCTTGGGTGTTATCTCAATAATACCACTGAGATTTTAAGGAAAAGTTTGCATGTACAAAAATTCACATTTTTGGCTGGGCGTGGTGGCTCACGCCGAGGTGGGCGGATTGCTCGAGGTCAGGAGTTCGAAACCAGCCTGAGCAAGAGCGAGACTCTGGCTCTACTATAAATAGAAAGAGATTAATTGGCCAACTAATATATATAGAAAAAATCAGCCGGGCATGGTGGCGCATGCCTGTAGTCCCAGCTACTCGGGAGGCTGAGGCAGCAGGATCACTTGAGCCCAGGAGTTTGAGGTTGCTGTGAGCAAGGCTGACGCCACGGCACTCACCCTAGCCTGGGCAACAGAGCGAGACTCTGTCTCAAAAAAAAAAAAAAAATTTACATTTTTGGGGATGGTAGGTTTTCTTCTACAGCCTTTGTCATAAGTTTTTCTGTAGCCTTTTCTCAGATTCTCAAAGAGGTCTCCGATTCCCTGAAAGATAAGAACGCATGTCCTAAAGAGTTATTTTTAAAAATCAGTTGCTAAATAAAATGTTTGCAAGGTAACTTGATGAATCATTTCAGTACATTTGACCTGGATGAGGTAGAGGGTTTGTGTATCCACAACCCGACTGCCGCCAGCAGTCTCTCTGCTGCTGGATTGTGGCAGTTCCAGTTGGCAGCTGGGAATGTTTCTTCTGGATGCATATCCAGTTGTGGTCCCCCCTCCCACACACACCTGTAGGAGCAGTTTGAGATTCATGTGCTTGTTCTTCATGAGGTTCTAGGTGCATCAAGGATTTATAAGCTGCTGGAACCAGCACCATATAGTGTGTTAATCCAGAATTCAGGGAATTAGAGGATTTTTGGTCAAACTTAGGAAGCTTCTTTGATCCACTTTGGCTAGACATTTTTCCTGGCTTCCATCAATAGCTTTGGCATTTTTTTCTGGCCTAGACACACACAAACAAGAGGAGCCTAGAGTTTCTCTAAGGAGCTAAGAAAAAGCACATTTTAAAAATAACTTGAGCAAATGAATTCATCTGGCAAAAGCAACCAGGCTACGTAAAATAAACTTCTTTAGAGTTTCGCAATCGCAGTTCCTGAAAATGTAAACAACCCCAGGGTCCACATGAGTTGAATCACTTGCTGAACAGAAAGAGTCCCTGGCCCAAATTCTGCAGGAATAAACACCTTATAAAACTAAGGGTCAATGACCTTCATATGGGAGCAAGGGGGTCGGCCACAACCCAACCCAAGGACAATGAGAATGTCTTATGACTAGACACTCAAAATGCGAGCTTTCTAAACCAGAAGCTGGTGTGGTGAGAGGAGGGCTGGTGTGGGGTGTATAGCCTATGCCTCAGGTTCTTGCTCAGATACTTCCAGGCCCCTGCTTTCCCAAGAGAAAAACGGAGTCTACTCACTCTCATGAAGTCAGAGAGAACCCCTGCAGGTTTCACCATGTGTTCTGTTGACACAATAATGGTTCCATTGAAACTGTAATAACATACTTGGCCAACTGAGCCTACACTATCATAATAACTTGTACCCAGTCCTAGTTTTCAGGTATAATGA